TATTTATTATTTTAGTAATTTAATTACTTATATTTTATTATATCCTTACTTACAAATAATTGCTATCTTATTATATTAAAGAGCAGGCCCTTGCTAATCATAATTAGTGTGAAGTTTTATCTAGTAAGACAGCAACAGACATAAGTTTACTAGTTTATTATTAAGCTGTAAACATTATCAGACTAGTGCTATTTCAAAGATAGTTAGAAATTAATAATAATACCTTACTATATTATCTTTACGGCTTAAGTTATTTATTTTCTGCTTTTATATTCATTTATATATTCATTTCCTTTTTTGCTAGTGTCTATTATATATATATTAAAATAAATTGAAATTGTGTTCTTACTATCAGGCCATATCCATTTACCTTACTTACTAAAGATAACATAGTTTATAAGAGTAGAGAGGTTTTCTAACAAACAAAACCTTTTAAATTTTTCCTGCTAGTAATACTGAATAACACTAGGAGCCTGCTATAAAGAAATAATAAAAAAAAGGAGAGGTAGAGATAAATACTTATTGTTATTATAATCTTAGCGTCTCCTGCCGAGAACCAGATAATAAGATTAATTATTTTAAAAAACAAAAATTACTGGCTTATCAGTCCTCTATATTTATATCTTATTAATCACAGGCAGTTCATACGAAGAAAAAATAAGGAGTAATCATATAACAACCAAAATTACAGAAACAAGGCTATATAAAAGGGATAAAGCCTGCTATTTGTTAATCTTCGAGTAAATAAATTATAACTATTTAGTAGAGCCTAAATACTTGGATTTGTGACTTTATACTCTTTTATAGCAAGGATTTAGAATTTATAGGCTATTTTACAGCTAGATATAGTATATATATAAAAATCCCGGGTATTAATATTTTTGTAATTAATATCTTAAGTTATCTTTTGGTATTATAGCTAAAGCCCTTAATATCATTTTTTAAATACACTATTAACTAGTGTAATAAGTCTAGTCTTTTTGTTTTATACTAGTAAACCACTCCTGCTGCTTCTTTATCACATTATTATAGCAGGATAATTCTTATTTAACTAGTGAGGCCCGGGTTTATATATACTCCTGTACAAGTTAGAGAAGCACTCTTTCTTATCTAATACTAGTTTACTATTTATGCTCCTGCTGAACTATCTTCAGCTTTTAAAATTTATAGAACCCGGTTAACCCCAGAGAGATAATAATAGATAATCTAGTAGTAATAACTGTTAGAAGGGCCATAATCAACCAATTACCCTCCCTAGATATATAAATATTAATAAAGGTAGTAAGAAGCCTAGCACAGGCATTAAGATATATCAGCCTTTTAAAATTAGTATGTCACGGTGTCCACAAGAGAAGCATACTAAATAACACCCGACTTATAAAAAAAGTCGATTAGTAACCTATATATAGTTATATCTTCATCTATAAAATAGAACTAGTATAGTAACTGCACTAACCCCAAAAAATATATATATAATAGCTACCAGCGGCGGATTCTGCACAGTACTTAAAATACTATTTTTTAAGCTTTGATTAAGCTTTTTTTAAAGTGACTCGGAATTCTGAAGAGAGGTAAATATACCGGGAACTATAAAATAGCTAGCCAGAAAAATCTAGCTAATAAAGCTTATTAAGAAGTTATACACCCAGTAGATATTATCCAGCTCCAAATATATATAAATATACTCTATATCTACAGTAAAGTTGGTTATAGTGTAATCTGGTTAGGGGTATACATCTGACTATAGAGCATCTATGGGGGCTTGTATTTTCTTAGAAAATAATATAACAAGAATATACTAAAACTACTAAACCTGTAGAAGAAGTAAAAGCTTTTATTCCTGAGCCATATAAAATATATAATATAAGAAGTAGTAAACTTAACAGATTGCCTGTATGGTATAAGATTTGGCAATTAATATATTATAAAATATTTAACCAGCTTAACCTCCTAGCCTATAATATAATTTAATACAGCAGGCAGCCTAACTAGCAGATCTTGGGCTTTATAATATAGCTAGTATATAGAAGTTATAATATAAAATAGCTGTTTGAAAGGGGCTATTAGTGATATAGTCCGAGAATATTAATAAAATAATAAAACAAATATTATTATTACCTTAGCTTAATATAATATTTTATATCTTCTTTTTTAGCGCCCCAATTGTGCTTTCTATATAATTATGTATATAATATTAATCAGTTAAAAATACCAGCTTCCAGACTTGATTCTGAGAAATAGATACTAAATAATATTAGTTTACTAGACCTTAATCAGAAGTTTTATTCTATCTAATATATACTTAAAAAAATTCTTTAATTATTACTAAGTATAAAGCACCAGCAAAGTCTCCTATAAGCAGCTTTATAATCCCACCTGTCTTTTCAGCCTTATCCAGGTAAAACAGGTTTCATATTATACTACAGACTACCTGCAGATCCTGGGCCTTCCTGCGTGGGTTTAATACACAGATCATACTCTTGCCAATATTCCTTAGCCATAATTAGCCATCTGGAAGTAGTCTGGTTAGTAGATATACTAACTAATCTTAATATTTCTATTCTCTATAATAAAAATATATTCCAAACACAGGTCTCTATGGCCAACACCAAGCTTATCGTGGATATATCTCAAGCTATTTAGAACCTGATATAAGATTAATTATTTATCTTAAACAGGATCTCCTAAAATCTTATTTTATTATAAAATATAGCCACTTTAACTTTGCCTAGTTTAAATACTAGCTGTAGTTAGTAAATTTCCTCTAGGGAGATACCCCAGTGCTTATAAATAAAAAAAAATAAAACTATTAGTTATAAAGGCCTTTTTAAGATTAACTAGGTTATAATACTAAGTAGCCCTTAACTAGTCCATCTTTTTCTTTGTATTATTTATTATAAACTTTCTAATATATACTACCGGAAAGTTTTCTGTAAACTTAATAGCATAAATCCCACCCCACTGGGGCTCTAGTCTAACAAAGAAATATTTGTATATTTTATATGGATAGCCATATTAAACAAAACATAACCCTCTTGCGGCCGGCTTTTCTATGCTCTTAGATGGAGTCTTAGGAAGAGTAATAAAATACAAGTTAATTAAAGAAGCAAGGACTTTAGACTCTACCATAATTAAAAACAGCAGTTTAATATGCCCTGTTTTAGCAATCCTTGCTATTTCACGCATAGTATTTATACGTAAGGAAACACATGTAGGAAAGATAGGCATATAATAATATCCTGGCACACACTCTTAAGCCCTAATCTTAAAATATATTCTAAAAATAAATTAAATTATTATTAGGAATAATATGTCTTTAAAGATCAATCTCATTATATTATTATAATAAAAATAATTTAAATCAGATCCTTCACTTAGATTTTTTTTATTTATAATCTCTGATTCTGGATAGTATAACTAGTACTTAAGATAAGGATATATTATTACTCTGGTCAGTGGGTCAGGTATTTTATGTATTAGAGCAAATTTTTTTTCGTGCTTGAAGACTTAGTACAAGATAGATTATAATAGTAACATAACATGAGTTGTGACTTTAATCTAGTGGCCGTATAGAGAGTTATTATAATTTAATATACTATTATAGTAAGTAAATCAGAAACAAGATATATTACAGCTCCTTTAATTTATCTTTTAAATAAGCTATTTAATACTCTTCCTAAAACAGGACCAAGCTGTAATCATTAGTAAAACAAATTATTAATCTTTTCTGGGCCCAGGAACACAAGATAACATAGAATACAAATAGATTTAAATATTCTGTAATTTATATAATAGACTATACAGGCGCTAGAATATACAGTACTAATATCTAGATAATAAACTAAAGTAAGCTTTCCAGTAACATATTATGTCGGTTCTCCAAACAAGTTATACAAAACATAAACCTAATAATAAAGATAACCGTATAATTTCCTGCATCTTCAGAAAAAAAATCACTTTATAATATAAATAATACCCTGTATCAAGCTGATTTCTATAATCTCTACTTAAATTACTATTATAATTATAACTCTCTTCAGCTAATTAAGTAATATACCAAGAAAAGAGTCAGGCCTATAATAATCCTCCAGCGCAAAATCAGAAGTCCAGAATACATAATATATACTAAAAATAAATTACATAGATATTAGAAAGTCCGTCAGTTGGATTTTTACCTATTTCTGACGGTAATAGCCACTAAAATAAGAATATCACTATAGTAATACTTTTGCTTGGTGGGTTATATATTTTAATTATAAAAATAATCATTTTTTTGACTAAGGGATCAACAACAGGATAAATTACGGCCAAAATATATCACAAAGCCTACCTCTTATCTTGTGATTATACAAGAGATAGTAGGTTAGTAAATAAGATAAATTATAATTTCTTTAATTTATTTTTAAGTGCGGAGAAAGGTATGTCTTAGGATAGGGCTATATATAACATTCCTTAGTAGATCTTATATTATTAAATCCTTCCTTGGCACATGAACAAAGGATAACATTAATTATAAGGGGAATTATAATCTTAACTATATTTTTTTATAATAGATCATATAAATTATATGGTACAAGCATGTTTTATATTATCCTATCTCCGAATTATAAAAAATTTAATTTATAATTATTTTTAAAGATTTTGTTCAGTTATATAATCAGTGGTTCTTAGATTAATATTTGGCCCTAAACTGCTTGATTTAAAATATTTATATTACCTCTACTCAGCCCACTCCATATTGTCATGCGGGCTTTTTTCTTATACTCTATAGATATTACTTAGCTTTTGTATTTTCTATCAGTTTAATCTTGGCTTAGAGGTCTCAGGTCCTAAGCCTTATATATTTTAATATAGATATACTATAAAATAATATATTTATAATCAAGTAGGTAAGATAATATTAACTTTAGTAAAAACGTCTTTAAATTCACAAAGTAAGATAAACCATCTTTAATAACAAACAAAGAATACTTTATAAAATAAATAATACCCAGAATCAAGTTAGATTTTATAATCTCCTATCTGAACTACTGCTGTATATTATTAGATATATTAAAAAAGATAATTCTTTATTATTACTCTCCTCAGTAAACCGAACACTACACCACTTATATACCTGCCACATATTCCGGAAGCTAAAGATGGCCTTTTTAACAACAGGATTAGACTACTTACTACAAATATCATACTCTTAGATAACACTACACGTCCGCGAGATTATTTATAAGGTTACTAAGAAAATTAACTCTTATAAGTATTATTGACTTTTTTATAGAAAACTTACTAATAGTACTCTTAGGTATTAAAAGCTACAAGTATTTTCAGTCTTAGATCTATATACTAACTAAGTATTAATATAATTAAAACAAATGTTTCTGGACTTTTAGAGGGAAGAAAGTCTTATACTTAGGTATTTTTTACTATTTTAATACTTAGGCACAGGAATAGCACCTGGTCCAAGAGAAGGCTTAAAATATTAAAGCCCTTATAACTTTTATTCCTTGCTTTAAAAGCCTGAAGGCAGTAGAAATAGTCTTTATAAATAATATTTAGTCACTCTTTTACTAGTTTACGGGTCGCGTCTTCTTAGACTATATACATACCCTTACCGAACACTTAGTGAAAATAATAGCAGCTATAACAGTGGCCAAATTAGATAGCATAATAATAAGGATATTTATAATATCTGGGTTTTATTCTTGTCTTGAGCTAGCCGACCCGCTACTACTAGATTAGATAGATTATATACTTAGTTATATTAAAGAGCTTAAGGCTATTAATAGTTTTATTATATTGGAGTTTCTGAGCCGAGTTTCTCTCCTATTTTTTTAGTAATTTGAGCTGGTAAGTTGCTGGTTATTTTTAGAGAACTTGGAGGATTTTGTCTGAAAACACATGGTCTTTTTGTGCTATTTTTACCTAGAAGATATATAGCTGCTCTACAAGAAGATTAATAAGGATGGAATCTTTTTATCCATGGCAAATATATAGTTTATATTTAATAGTTTGAAAGTTATTCGGGACATTAGTATCTTTGACGAGCTTATAATAAATTGTCGGCCTAGGGGATTATATAAGATAAAAGCACGGGTCTGTTCCTTATCTTAAATAGTCTGCTCGGAGATCTTTGGATATTTAAGATAATTACTGCTAGTGATGTCAGAATTAACTGCTCTTGGATTTTATGATTTACTAGGTAAATTAATTATAACATAAACTAGATTATGCAGGATATAGTATAATAATACCCCTTATAAGTCCTTCTTCTTAAATAGGGTGCCCCAGCCCAGTATCAAATAAAAACTTCTACCCGGTCATTAATGTCCTCAACTATTATTATTTATCTAAAATATTGAAGGTAATTAATCAGCTGGATAAGCAGATATTAGTTACTAATAAAAGGTAACCAGATCATAGCCTAGCAGCGGCTAAAAAAAACCAGAAAAACAAAATTCAACAAGAATTCTCTTTATATAGTCAGGGAAGAAATTTCCAGGTTAAGCCCAAAAGCTATAGAAGTATTTTGGAGAGTCCGAAATACTAAAAACTATATTATTAGTTAAAAGTTTCGCGGACCTTCCTGGTTTTAGCAAGGGGGCAATAGATAAACATTTTACCAGAACCAAATTCTGACATATACTATAATAAGCATAAAAAGCCAGACAGTACCGGAATACAGTTTCTTTATCCTTCTTGCAGGAGAAAAAAAATAAATAAAAATAGCTCCCCGGACTATAAAGCGCTTTTCCTTAAGGCAGAGGAGGAAAGAAAATAAACAAAGAAAAAAAGAAGACAGGTAAAAAAAAAAAAAAGATAAGAGAGAGAGCATAACTAACCAACTACTTTTAAAAAGTTTATCTAATATTATTATAATCTTTTTTAGCGGCTGTTACAAGCTGAAGCTCCTTCTTGCTTAACAACAGGCAAGATCCCTCCTTCTACCAGAAAATACTGCTTTATACAGTTCTGTCCATAGATAGATTGCGCTGCTATATAACGAGAAATTTATATATTAGTTTACTGCTACCTACAGCCTACTAAAGATGTTTTATAGCTATTTGTATCTTTAATTAAACTAGAGGGCCTTAGTCAGTATTTTGTGTTTTACCTAATTAACAGTAAACAAGATCTTGAAAGTTACAAGTGATTTGCCATTAAGGATTATATATATAATATAATTTTGGCGCTATGCAAGATACCTGCTGCTCGCGAAGAATTTAGGCTTAATAATAGTATATGGTTTAACAACCATGCTAATTCGCTAGAGGTCAAATAATCTAGATCAGACACTCTACTATCTAGGCCTGACTAATTCTACATCCACCATGTTAACAGTCAATCAAAAGCCTTACTAACTACTATTAAGTATAAACCCCCCTATAAACTTTCAGTGTAGACTATACGCGAAAGATTTTGACTAATGGAGTTTTAGCAGGAAATTATTAAACCAGATACTATACTAAAAGATAGGCCTAAAAAGCAAAAATATAATACTATACATCTAACAGGATCTGTGGCCGTTCAACAATTCCATAGGATAATATAATATAGAATCAGATACTCTTCTATCACAAACAGCCTCCTAGATATACAATTGTGGGTGCCTTTTAATAATCCAACTATATTATACTATAATATAGGCGGGCCTAATATCAATATTCCGGGGCCACAGACCAGAGTTAAGAGAGCTTTATATTCTTATTTAATAAGCTTTTACACCCCTTTTCGTGGTCAGGCCTGGCAGAATACTGCCGAAAAAAAGCTACCAAAATAACACACAAATTTTAATAGCGAGCGTTCCCAGATCCTAGCAGCTGAATTACCACCGGTCACGAATATAGGCTATGCTAATTTAGAATATATTAGTCCTAAGTAATCTACCTCTGAGTATATATCTTTATTACTTCTTATAAAATCTCCCACGGGATCTCCTACTACCAAAGGTTATTAAATACTAATAAGAGCAGCCTCTGGCTGCGTGCCTTTATCTGACCAGTATTTCTAAAAGGATTTATCAGATTCTAAGATAAATCCTGCTATATCTGCTGGACGGAAGTACAGGTTTAACTAAATTATATTATTCTTTTTAATCTAATAGCTTATAACTTAAATACATTCTTAAAGAAACCAGGGCGGATAATCTTATCTATATTTTGCTTAGTATTATACATAAATATACCTTCTAGGGCTATAGCAAGGCGGCCTGCTTAATCTTAACTGCCTAAACACAGAGCTATATATATTTAGCAGAAGAAGTAACGACTACCATCTAATTAACATAGAAGATTTAGTAAAAAAACTTAAGGCACAGCTTAATCAGGATCTAGATTATAACTATACTTTAACAGGTCCTTATGGGTCTTATAGTACACCATTTAAAATCATATATACTATATATAGATATACTATTATCAGCAAAAGAACAATATTATAACTTTAGAATAAGGTATTATATAAAATAAACATTTATTATATCCTTCAGCGAGCCTAAGGATCAGCTGTTCCAGTTTTTCTAAGAGTTATTAATCTAGCCTAGATCTACTTCCTCCACGGTGCGGGAGAAATCCGTTATATACTTCTTATAGGCTAGGAGGACAAAAATATAGACTAGATAAACCTTAACAAGACCGCTCAGCGTGCGATTTCTTGGTTAGTTAAAGAAATTTATTCTTTAAACATCCTTTATTAGGATCTCTGACTGGAAAATCTCTTATAAAATACTAAACTAAAACAGGTCTTAATTATTAACTTTTATTAATACATATTAGATTATCAGCTGATATAAAAGCAGCCAGACTCTTTTAAATAACAGTATAGACTTAAGGAATGTGAATCTAAAAGGTTATATATAATTTAAGTAAAAGTTACTGAAAATCAGGCTGCAGCGGTAGAATAATACAGAAAATATAGTAACTGAAACTGCATTTCTTTATTTATACTAATCTTTTATAACTAATAAGGTATAGACCTCCGGTGTTAAGCCTGTGCTATATGATTATAATATTTATAACTAGTTCAAGTTTGCTGGCCAAGAGTAATAAAGTTATATTATATAAATTTTCTGTTAAAAAGTAGAAACTATGGCTTTATTAACAATAAAACAGGATACCATATAAGTTAAGCGCGGGCAGGATCCCATAAGACTTGGTAACCTAATTCAGAGAGGATGGTCTATGGGATATAAAAGACCAATAATTCATAAACTACAAAGGTTAGCTTCAGAATGCCATAAAAATAGAAAAACAAGGCTCAACCTGGGACATAATAGTAACCAGCTGAAAATGGTTTAGGAAGGCTTTATAAATAATAATATATTTAAGAGTAATAAAATAGAACTTGTGAACTGTGTATAATTAACTAACTAGTTACCAGGTCCCTATTATCTTCTATACAGAGCCTTAATTCACAACAATCTGATCTAAATGTTTAGATCGGGTAGACCTGTTCTTGGGAATACCACTACCCTACATAAAAAGGTGATTACTAGAAAATTATTCAGAAAGTAGTATAGGCGAGCTAAAAAATACAGATAATCTTCCTGGCCTAGCACGCTAAAATTATATAATAACAAGGCTGAAAAGTGAGGATATACCTCTCTTTCAGCTCGTTAGAGTCTAACTGAGATTCTTATTATAAATAATATTAGAACTTTTTAAAAACAGCTACTTAATGTCCGTTTATCTATTAAATATTTATTTTATAACCTTTTTCTTCTGAATATTCAGCTTAATCAGGTCTTTTTTTATTTAACATACCTAAGAAGCTCCCATCTCAGCCAAAGTAATCAGTACTAGTATAAAGCATTACTAGTCCTAAAACATTCCTATGCCAAAAGCGACTCTAATATAATGCTTATATTATCAGATAGATATGCGCCCTTCTAAAAAAACAGACCGCAGCTAGAGCCATACTAGATAAAGAGTATGAACCTTTCCCGAAACCTTGTAATAACTATAATATATATATTCTAAACTTAATATGCGGCTATAATATTATTATAGCTTATCTACCTAATATAGGAACCAGTCCTGCCGCAATAGTTGTGATATCTATAATAAATATATTCCAATCAATCAGGTTCGGGCTTATAATAGGGATTGGCGGTAGAAATCTGTTAAAAATCAATCTAGGAGATATAGTAGTCAGCTGACCAGTTGCTGACTACCACAGGATAATATAATAGAATATAAGGAAG